ATGGTTCTATATAGAACCTTTTAAAGGTGCTGTTTAGAACCCTCTTTTTTAAATCAAAGAACCTTTAGGGTTCTTTTAATTGAACCCTCTATAATGGTTCTATATAGAAGCTTTGAGCTTCTAACGAATTCTTTCAGCACCTTGTTGAATCAATGCCACGTAGAATTAAGGCAGTTCTGAAGGCGAAAGGGGGTCAAACACCGTATTTGAACAGGTGTTCCTAATAATCCTTTAGGTGAGTGTATATGACACCTTTAAAAGGTTCTATATAGAACCATTTCATAGGGTACAATTAAAAGAACCCTAAAGGTTCTTTGATTTAAAAAAGAGGGTTCTAAACAGCACCTTTAAAAGGTTCATTTGTACTCAAATTTTTAATAATACTTAATCATTAATAATAATAAAGAATGATAATGGGTGATACTGTAATAGTAATAAATAATACTTATATGATATAAATTAATTATTGAACTTAATTAATTAGCTGCAGCAATTATTTTAAATAAAATTGGCAATAACTAGGCAAACCTTTGTTTACAAGCTATAAGCCCAAGCAGCTATGAAAGATAGAGAGGAGATGTGGTTTCAAAAATGGCCTGTATTGTTCATTTAAAAAAAATCATCTACATTCAAATAAATTAGGAACAAAATCCATTTGAAAACCAAAACAATTCTCCTTTCAGCCACGAGCAAATCTGATTGTACAATTTTAGTACAGGAATAGACACAGGTTTTTGTCCATTTGCCATCTGAAACAAATAATGCTCTGCAAACTCAAGGTGTGCTTTATCTGCTTGGGGTACTGCACACCAAAGATGAAGTAAACTTCCAGCAGGCATTGGAGAGCATGTGGTATGTCCATCTCTCCACTTGTGATGGTGACTTCATCCATCTTTATAGATGCTCTGCTGGCAAGGAGGGGAGTCTCTGAATCATGAAGGATGATGGTTGGAAATGAGCTGGGTGGTTCCTATATAAATGAGAAATGTTTTAGTGACCTCCTCATTGAATTTAGACATGTAAATTACAATCATAGAAACATCACATACCTCATCAAACAAAGAAACTTTGAGTTCTCCTTGAAAAGCACTGGCAGGATAAGGAGGCAACACTTTTGAAGGTCTGAAATTTCAAAAGAAACAAACAATGTTTTCATAAAAGCATAGTTTTATAGAGACAATTGAAGGGTGCAAAGGAAAAAGAAAAGATGTCAGCTGGTGACATACTATCTGAGTTAGCCTCGGTCCTTAGCAGGTGGGACAGCAGCTCCTTCTGACTACCATGTTGAGCTGCCCTGATGATGTTGGGTGTCAACAGACTGAGGGCATTTTGAAGGCTTAGCTCCATGTCCTGACCAAAACGCAACCTCATTTCATGATGCATCTACAAAAACAAAAAAGAGAAAAAAAGTGAAAGGGAAAGTTGTCATTAATAAATTAATACACTTGCTTCCTAACAGTGCTGAAATCTCATTATAGTAATATTACTATTAGCTTCTCACCAGCTCTGGCACCTGAAGAAAGGGGAACATCTCCATCACCTCCTCAGTTGGCTTGGCCATATATTCAACCCTCTTATATAGCGTGCGCTTCATTCGGTCCATTATATTGGGGAAGTCTGGCTGTCGCCGGCACAGCTCATTATTCATGGCATTTATGTGCTCGAAAACTAAGGTCATCCTCCCCAACACCTTCAAGGTCAAATACAATCAGGAATTAAGCATGTGAGCAATGAGCAGTAAATGTTGCAAGACAGAAATACTTCAGAATTTGAATCATTAATATATTGCAAACTTCTTGTGTTGGATTGCAATTCCTCCAAGATGTCTGGATTGTACCTTCACTTCTGCGCCTCTTTGCCCTCTGGAATTAGCCATAACAAATTTGTAAAATTTCTGTAAAGTACTGGTAAATCGTGACAATACAGGCTAGCAAGCTGTCATACATACAGATGGGCTAAAGACAAGCATAAATCTTAAAAATGGTACCTGATGTCCAAGTGGGTCCTCCAGAGGCACATGATCCATAACTCTCCGTCTTTTGGCACCAAACGTTTTTTTTCATCTCCTGGACTGTTGCCAAGTTCACTAAAGGTGACCTTTCCTTCTTGAACTTATTTCGCAAACACTCCAATAGAGTTTCCTGTGGGTGTTTACATAAGATATAAGGCTCACACAGCATAAAAGTAGTACAGAAATTCAACTGAAGAATAATGTTTTGCATTAAGAAATAACAGTTAAGAAATAACATACATAGCCAGAGGAGCTATGGTCTCTCAAAAATGGAAACCTGGTGATCAGACTTCCCAGGACATCTGTGTATTTTTTATGGTTTGGGTACCTGAAAGATCATGCTTAGAGTTAAAACTTTCCTACTCAAATTTAAATATTAAAATATACAACACAACAACCTCAATGTATGTTCCTGACAACAAACTAGAGTAAACGTCAAGGGTACCATGTGTACTTTGTAATGTTGTCAAACAACAGCTGGATCAGTAAAGATCACAAGTGGGACTTTTATACATCTCGACCTGAGCGTGGAAACGGGCGTGCGCAACATTTTTGTGCGTAAGCACCGTTTATCCATGAGGCCCCTGGTGATTAATCAGAGGAAAAGGTTTTTCAATCATCCTCTCAGTCAACCCCAGCAGTGTTTCCCCATCAATTTGCTGTTCTGTTGATGTATGAATCACAGTAAATTTCCATTACACAAAATTATCAATTTAAAACAAGAGCTTAATTATATACTAGTATTTCACAAGTCTATTTTTGTTTTCTTTAAGTCAGCTGTTTGCAGCAGGGTTTTACCTATGGACACAGTGATGAAGTGTAACGAACATATTTTCATCATGAACACAGGTGTCCAAAGCATAGTAGTCTTTTTCATCCCCTGGATGAACAACAATCCATTCTTTATGGTCCTCCAAAGAGAAGGCATGGTAGTGACTATTGAATATGTAGGATCACACATGCACATATCACAGGGCTTACATTCCAGGTGGCCTGAGACAAGGCATAGCCTGGTACGAGAGGTACACATTGGCCTAGGCAGCAAAGGGGGGTTAGTGACCCCACACACATAAACACACTTATACACACACACACACACAGACGGTATGAGGTGTGAACCTGTGAAGCTGGTATGGCATGTTTGGTGTCAAACTGATGGACAATCACTCCTGATTCCAAATCTGGTCAGTGGTTACCATGAAAGTGGATGTATCAAAAGTTATACCAGCTTAATGAAAATCATCAGTAAAGGGGGAATCCCAGTAAAGGGTCATAAATCCCAAAAGGACTGATACAGACCCCCTTCCGAAAGCTCGTCAAATGGATGGTCAGCTATTGGTCCAGGA